CTCAGCCCCGGGTTCTCATTGCCTCCCCCTCTTTTTTTTTTTTTTTTTTTTTTTAAGAGATGTTTGCTATAGGGCGTGTATGCACACCAGAGAGACAGGAAGAGAGAGATCAGTCCCCACAGGGGACGGCCGCGTCACAATCCCTTCTCCTCTGTTCTCCTTTGGGGATTTTGGGCGCGCACGCACATGGGCCTGCTGTGTTTTAAGCCTCTGGGTCTAGGACTCGAGCCACAGTTGTCTATGTGGGAGTCCAGCAACGTAACCAGTGTGCCATCTGCTGGCCACGTGCCATCTGCTGGCCCCTTCATCATCTCCTAGTGTAGAAAATGCTTCTATCAAATGATCACCTTGCATCTGTTTGAAAAATTACTGTCATGAGGACGTAGCTTTATTTACTTACTTATTTTGAACAGCTTTGTAAAAAAAATTTTCATATACAAGTATTTATCTGCCAACTCATTCTTTTTTTTTAAAATGTTTTCATCACCACACTTTGAGCTTTAGGTATTTGAAAATAATTTTTATTTTCCCACGACATTTTTGCTCTGTCGATCATGTGCCGTCCTTGGGAATTCGGGGCTTGCCATGTGGCCCGACGTGCTGGGAGCAAAGTGGTGTAGGTCTGCCCTGTGTGGCAGAGGCCCTTCCCTGCCAGGGGCTGCTTCCCAGCTGCCTTGGCATCGCTGCTGCAAGTCCAGAGCCTTCGCGGTAGAAGCTCCCATCTGGAGGACGTCTAAGAATGCAAAGCTCCCTGTGCTCGCATGACTGGTGCCTGGCTCAGCTTTTCTTAGACACTCAGTGGTCACGACATTGAGTGGTCTCCTGGTCCAAGTGATGCCCTCCTGAATCCTGTATAGTGTGCAAGTACTTCCCCGGGGATGGCTCCACTGGAGTACCGTCCTCGAGGGTCCTCTACCAATTTATTTTTTAATGTTTCATCTTTGTATTATACAGTCCAGAAGAATGATTTTCCTAATGGAAGGAAGTTTTTTTTTTTTTAATTAAGAATTATTTATTTTTATTTTTATTTATTTTAATTTAACCAGAGAGAAAGAAGGGAGAAAGCAGGCTGCCAGATCTGGGACTCAAACCTGAGTCAGCCATGTGGGAATTGAGCACGTTAACCATCACGCCAACTACTAGCCTGAGGAGGTGTGTGTTTTTGTTTGTTTTTTTGTTTTTTTGGTGGGTTTTTTTGGGTTTTTTTGTGTTTTTTGTTTTTGTTTTGTTTTGTTTTGTTTTTTGAGAGGTTTTTGCTATAGGGCGCATGCGCTCGCCAGAACGAGAGACAGAAAGTGAGAAATCACTCCCCAGGGGGATGGCCACATTGCAGTCCCTTCTCCTCTCAGGATCTTGGGCACGCACCCAATGTTGAGTTTAAGCCACTTGGTCCAGGACTCAAACTGCAGTCAACCACGTGGGAGTCCAGCAACATGACCATTATGTCAACTGCTGGTCCCAGCTATATTTTGTTTCTAAATCATTATTGAGTGGTCGGCAGTGGCATGGTAGGTTAAGGATGCCCTCACCTGGCCGACTACAATTCGAGTCCTGGACCTGGAGACTTGCTTTCTCACTTTCGTTTCGCTTCTCTCTCTCTCTCTGTCCCTTTCTGGTCAAATTAAAGTGAATAAATAAAGTTAAAATAATTATAAGAAAAAAAATCATTATTGAAAAAGTTTCCCTTGCATTTTGGGTATTTATTTTGAGTAAATTTTACAAATCAATTTGTGAATACTTTTTCTTTGAAATTGCATTTTCTCATTCTAACGTTTTTATTACATTTAGTTACCGTACATCTTTACAGTGTACAGGATGAGTTTTCAGCGTGAATACAGCGCATATCAGTCAGCTCACAGATAATCCCTGAGGCATGGGCAGAGGGCTGGCCATAGCAGGGGCAGGTGCTGCCCCGCTGGTCCACCGTGAGCACAGCGTGTGGCCCGAGCGCCACTTGACCGGTTCCCGGAGTGACAGGAGGGCACCCCTCCCCATGATGTCTGAGTGCTAAACCCGAGGAGAACTGGGGCCAAGGGGGGTGTGCAGCCGCCCACAGTCTCAGCGGCCCACGGTAGCGGAACACGGCCTGGGTGACTTCACAGGATGCAGGCTGAGCATGACGGGTCCGACACCCGAAATCACCAACACCTGAAACCTCTAGAGGCCTGGCCTGATACCAGAGTGGAAAACTCCCCCGGCCTCGTGCGGTGGTCCCAAAACAACGCAGCACAAAACCCTGCATAAACCCCGTCAGGCTGTGTGGAAGGTGTAACGGGACAGACTCTGTTAGACTTGGTGCCATCCCCAGGATGGCTCACAGATTCAGATCCGAAACACTCCTGGTCTCGCACACTTGGGGGAGGGGTACCCAGCCTGTGTCCCCTCGTCCAGGACTGCTGGGCATTGGTTCTCTGTGGGCGTGGAATCAACCCCACGGTCTCTTGCCGTGTCAGTTAGCTGTTAACTGCTAACTAGAAAACTGTTTTTAAGTAAGCGTTAATGAAATTGGTTTTTTAAAAATGCTTTCAGGGGACCAGCATTTGGCATAATGGCTATGTCGCTATTTTAATTTAACCAGAGAGAAAGAAGGGAGAAAGCAGGCTGCCAGATCTGGGACTCAAACCTGAGTCAGCCATGTGGGAATTGAGCACGTTAACCATCACGCCAACTACTAGCCTGAGGAGGTGTGTGTTTTTGTTTGTTTTTTTGTTTTTTTGGTGGGTTTTTTTGGGTTTTTTTGTGTTTTTTGTTTTTGTTTTGTTTTGTTTTGTTTTTTGAGAGGTTTTTGCTATAGGGCGCATGCGCTCGCCAGAACGAGAGACAGAAAGTGAGAAATCACTCCCCAGGGGGATGGCCACATTGCAGTCCCTTCTCCTCTCAGGATCTTGGGCACGCACCCAATGTTGAGTTTAAGCCACTTGGTCCAGGACTCAAACTGCAGTCAACCACGTGGGAGTCCAGCAACATGACCATTATGTCAACTGCTGGTCCCAGCTATATTTTGTTTCTAAATCATTATTGAGTGGTCGGCAGTGGCATGGTAGTTAAGGATGCTGGCCCCTCACCTGGCCGACTACAATTCGAGTCCTGGACCTGGAGACTTGCTTTCTCACTTTCGCTCTTTTTCTCTCTCTCTCTCTGTCCCTTTCTGGTCAAATTAAAGTGAATAAATAAAGTTAAAATAATTATAAGAAAAAAAATCATTATTGAAAAAGTTTCCCTTGCATTTTGGGTATTTATTTTGAGTAAATTTTACAAATCAATTTGTGAATACTTTTTCTTTGAAATTGCATTTTCTCATTCTAACGTTTTTATTACATTTAGTTACCGTACATCTTTACAGTGTACAGGATGAGTTTTCAGCGTGAATACAGCGCATATCAGTCAGCTCACAGATAATGCCTTAGGCATGGGCAGAGGGCTGGCCATAGCAGGGGCAGGTGCTGCCCCGCTGGTCCACCGTGAGCACAGCGTGTGGCCCGAGCGCCACTTGACCGGTTCCCGGAGTGACAGGAGGGCACCCCTCCCCATGATGTCTGAGTGCTAAACCCGAGGAGAACTGGGGCCAAGGGGGGTGTGCAGCCGCCCACAGTCTCAGCGGCCCACGGTAGCGGAACACGGCCTGGGTGACTTCACAGGATGCAGGCTGAGCATGACGGGTCCGACACCCGAAATCACCAACACCTGAAACCTCTAGAGGCCTGGCCTGATACCAGAGTGGAAAACTCCCCCGGCCTCGTGCGGTGGTCCCAAAACAACGCAGCACAAAACCTGCATAAACCCCGTCATGCTGTGTGGAAGGTGTAACGAGACAGACTCTGTTAGACTTGGTGCCATCCCCAGGATGGCTCACAGATTCAGATCCGAAACACTCCTGGTCTCGCACACTTGGGGGAGGGGTACCCAGCCTGTGTCCCCTCGTCCAGGACTGCTGGGCATTGGTTCTCTGTGGGCGTGGAATCAACCCCACGGTCTCTTGCCGTGTCAGTTAGCTGTTAACTGCTAACTAGAAAACTGTTTTTAAGTAAGCGTTAATGAAATTGGTTTTTTAAAAATGCTTTCAGGGGACCAGCATTTGGCATAATGGCTATGTCGCTGGACTCCCACGTAGTCGATCGCGGTTCGCGTCCCGGACCCGGTGGCTTAAAACTCAACACCAGGCGCGTGTGCGTGCGTGCCCAGGATCCCAAGAAGAGAATGGAGGAGAAGGGATTGCAGTGTGACCATCCCCTCTGGGGGGTGATTTCTCACTTTCTGTCTCTCTCTTTCTGGCGAACACATGTACCCTATAGCAAAAACTGCTAAAATCAAAAAGGCTTTCAGAATGACTGTTGTACCTTTGTTCTATCATTTTTTAGTCTATGGTAAAGAGTTCTGAAGAGAAAGTGGAGACGGTTGGTTCTTGCTCAGCACGGATGTGTAAAATCAGTTGAATCCAGTTCTGGTCGTCCTTAAAGTTGTGTGTGTGTGTAATATAGTGATTTTATATGGACAGAAAGTAAATGACACGTTTAAATACACACATAAAGATATTACCTTGTGCATTATCATTATCAGATAACTTTACTTTTGTGTCTGATAAATTTGTTTCTTCCGGGCGCCACCTCCCCCTGTCTGTGATCCAACTCCACCCTCTACTCTCTGGTGTCTCCGCTTGCCCTCCCTCTGCTAGCCTGCCGGTCTTTCAGATTCTGCCGTTGCGAGCACTTTTTCGACG